CTGCGACGCGGGCTCCCCTGCCAGCGCGCCCGGGCTGGGCTCCCTCTCTGACCCCCGCACAAGGCCCGCGTTTCAGCCTAGCCCTAGACTTGTCTCCCTGCACCCTCTGTACTCAACTCTCGATCAAATTCTTTCCAAGAATGATGTCCACAGAGAGCGCCAACAGTTTCACGTTGATCGGAGAGGCGTCTGATGGCGGCACGATGGAAAACCTCAGCCGGAGACTGAAGGCAAGTTTGACGTGAGCCAGTAAACTCGGGTACTTTTGAAGGGAGCATCGGTTCTTCGAGATGCTCTGCACCATTAAACTGCAAAGTTGCCCGTGGCACTGGCCTTCCAGTGTTTTTGTCGGTGAGTAGTTCCGTAAAGCTGGCTTGTTTTAAACCAAGGTTTGACCCGCAAGAATTACTTTGCCAACTGAAGAAGCACGAGCCCATCTGTTGAAAACCAGCCGGCGGCTGCCTGTGGCTTCCCTGCCCTAACGGAGACTCTTCCTGCAGGTCACCGGTGACCTCTTCGACATCATGTCTGGGCAGACGGACGTGGATCACCCTCTGTGCGAGGAGTGCACGGACACTCTGCTGGACCAGCTGGACACACAGCTTAACATCACAGAGAACGAGTGCCAGAACTACAAGTGAGTGATCCGGAGGTGACCTGAGCCCGCATGGCTTTAGCCTGAAGCCCAGGGAAATGCTGCGGCCTTGATCTGGCTGTCCCTGATCAGTAAGAGACGTCCCCAACCTCAGCGCTTGGTTTTCTTGGTCTGAATGTGATGAAAATTTGACTCTGGAGAGTCCTGTGGTACGCAGCTTCTGCAGCTGAACTGTGAGCCCGTCGGAACGACTGCCACCGGCACCCACGGTGCAGCCAAGGGCTCTGCAGAGACGGTGACTGACAGGCAGCAGCCAGCCCTCGGTCACCATCTCGGTCACCATCTCGCTCTCCTGTGCACGTTCCTGGCTCAAGCACAGGATCACTGCGGAGAGCTGGGGATTAGCGAGAGGTGCGCGTGAGAGCGGAGTCCCCTTTTGCCCCTCTGCTGTCGCGCGCAGGCTGTCATGAAGTGGGGACTGTTGGCGGGTGGCTTCCCAGGGTCCCCGTTGTAGTAACTGTGTCACTGTCCTTTAGGAGGTGTCTGGAGATACTGGAACAAATGAACGAGGATGACAAGGAGAAACTGCAAACAGAACTGAAGGAACTTGCACTGGAAGAAGAGCAGCTGATTCAGGAGCTGGAGGACGTTGAGAAGAACCGCAGGATCGTGGCTGAAGACTTCGAGAGAGTCAGGGCGGAGGCAGAGCGGCTGGAGCAGGAAGAAGCCCAGTGAGTGACCTACAATGGCAGTTTATGGCAAGGATTTTAGGTAACCAATAAGAGAGATTTTAATGTGGAGAAACCTGTAAATAATGTCCTAAAGCAAGCGACCCATTCTTTGCAAAATTGAAGTTGGCTGGACTGAAAAAACCTAGTATACTGTGTGAGCAGTTGCTTTTCTGTAAAAGCCTGCACTTAGCATTTCTTGTCCTGCTTTTATTAAAAGGTATCAGAAAGAGTACTGTGAATTCAAGAGGCAGCAGCTGGAGCTAGACGATGAGCTGAAAAGCGTGGACAACCAAATGCGCTACGCCCAAATGCAACTGGATAAACTAAAGAAAACCAACGTGTTCAATGCAACCTTTCACATCTGGTAACGCAGAGACTGGAATATTGCCTTGGTTTGCCAAGAATCTGCAGCGCAGGGCTGTGTGAGTCGCACTGCCTCTGACAGGAAAGGGGCTCGTTAAGTCACAGTGACCCCACAACAAAGCAGCTGGTCACAGCTGCCAGCAGTGTCAGCCCAGAGCGGTTTGCAGTGCTGCACAGGTGTCGGAGCAGACTGGAATGGCTCGTTTGCTAATGCTGATGCTGAGCCGGGACCTACGGTGCTAGGCAAGGGTAATGCTCCGAAATCAGGCTTTACAGAGCAGGTAGCTGGGGGGGGTGGGGGGGTGGTTGGTTTTGGGGTTTGGTTTGGGCTTCTTTTTAATGATCTCTTGGTGTTTATATATGCTCTTTAACCAGAGCCTCCACGCCCTCCTTTGCTTGGTTAGCAGTGTGCGTCCTGTACCTGTCAGCATGTGGCCCTGGTTTGGTTAGCATGCTCGAGGCGGTTCCTGCCCCACTGCGCGGATTTACAGTTCCTCTTCTCGCAGGCACAGCGGTCAGTTTGGCACAATAAACAACTTCAGACTTGGCCGCCTCCCCAGCGTTCCTGTAGAATGGAATGAGATCAACGCTGCCTGGGGGCAGACTGTGCTGTTGCTACATGCCCTTGCTAACAAAATGGGCCTGAAGTTTCAAAGGTACGTGCAACATGATACACACTTCACTTGTGGCTCCGATAAAGACAGTTAGACTCAGCTGCCTGTGGATCGCGTCTCCTTTCAGATACCGTCTCGTACCGTATGGCAACCACTCATACTTGGAGTCCCTCACTGACAAATCAAAGGTAAGAGGTCCTGCACGCATCGGAGAGCATTGACCTTGAATGCCACAGAGCCCTGGTCACGCTGGGGGACACAGAAGACAAACTCAGCTCTCTCTGAATTTATGGTATGGGAAAGCTAGCTGCCCCAGCTTCTCCAACAGAACAGCATCTTGCTCCCTATCCTGCATCAGGCCCCTGATTCTGCCACCCAGTAGCATTAAAAGCATCAGGACTCGAACTATACACTGCAGCTGGCCCAAGGAGGGTGGCAGGATGTGGGATGATCGTTCGTGACTAGGAACCTGAGCCTGCATGCAGTAGGCACCTGCCACAAAACAAATCACAGTTACGTGCCACAAAACATTTCTAAGCATCTTACAACAAAGCTAAGTCTTGCACAAGAGCTGCAATGGTCATACCTAAACTAGAGTGCTCGGGAGCCTGAAACGAATCTCTCTTCCAGGAGCTCCCCCTGTACTGCTCTGGGGGCCTGCGGTTCTTCTGGGACAACAAGTTTGACCATGCAATGGTGGCTTTCCTGGACTGCGTGCAGCAATTCAAAGAGGAGGTGGAAAAAGGCGAAACTCGGTTTTGTTTGCCTTACAGGTGAGCGTTGCGATGTAACGTGTCCCATGACCACCTGGTGTGCTGCGTCGCACAGCACTGACTGACCTCTGGGCCAGCCTACGGCACCACGCGCTCCTTCACTCCTGCCTTTCTGGAATTGCCCAGCGTTCTTTATGATGTGCAGGACTATCACATTTGCTCTTAGGTTAATCGAAATTTAAAGCTAGTTCCTCAGGTGAAGACCTGAGGCTTGCTAGATTTCCTTTAAAACCAGTATTCTGACACAGAATAATATGAATGTCAGATCTAGAGTTTAGTACCTAACACTGTATTGAGATGAAATGCTTGCAGTAGTAACACTAATAAGACTTTGTGTGTGATGCAGGATGGACGTGGAGAAAGGAAAGATTGAAGATACAGGTGGCAGTGGTGGCTCTTACTCTATTAAAACACAGTTTAACTCTGAGGAGCAATGGACAAAAGCACTAAAATTCATGTTAACTAACCTGAAGTGGGGTCTTGCCTGGGTCTCATCCCAATTCTACAACAAGTAACCACGTAACGAACTCGTCCTGGCAGCTGCAGAGGGGCTGCGTTTCGTTGGAGAAAGTCAAGATGTCTCTTAATATTAACCAGTACAAAATGTTTACAATACCAAAAATCCACAAGACACTTTATTTAAAATACCATTATTACAAGTAGTATATAGAAAAGCAATATGTAAAGTTATATCATTGAGCTGAACAGAATAAAAACAGTTACTAGATGGTGAACTGGTACTTTCGGGGTTTATAGATATGCATATAAAGGACTGTCAAACTTCAAAACACCAGTGAGTTTGATGCTACCATTACAGTTTAACACAGATTAGAAAACCAAAATGTTACAAACGCAGGGAATAACGCGGAAGAACTCACAGAAGCTCTGCTTAGTCATTAAAGAGTAAATACAGTTTGAAATAACGTATTTTGTGAGTCCTGTCAGCACTTCTTTGTGCCACTGAACGTAACAAGGCTTGATACTGTTTAAAATACTGTCAGCTATGATGACATGAGCCATTTGTAATGCTTCCTGTGGTCTGTTCCTGCACGGAGGTGCCCTGAGTAAATAACAAAACACTGCTCTACACACAGAGTGCTTTCACCTACCATAGGCCGGGCACAGCTTGAACAGCCCCGGGCACTTACGTGCATGTGCTGAGTAGGCACCTGCTGCCGCGACAGTTGCATCACTTTCAAAGCTGGTGGGGTTCTGTCCTTTTGACAAGCCTGGTCAGCTAGCTGGCTCTCTTCGGCTACGAGCACGCGGGCTCTGAGCACTGGCAAAGAGGGAACGCAGTACCAAGCAGCCTGCCTGAGACAATATGGAACAGCAGCAGGTGGAGAAAGAAAGTACAGCCCTGTTCGTAAGGACTGGGCGTGCAAGCTGCTCCTAGCAATGCAGACTGCCAAGCAGAACACCGCTGCCTTCACGCCTTTTCAAAACACGCCTAATTCTTAAGAGCTTTCTCTTTATTCAAAGGAAACTTAGAAGATGTAGCTCTTACAATAAAGCTTTTGGTGCTGAAAGAGGTATTTCTAAATGCTACTTCGCTCCTGTACTGGCGCATTGCCTGAAAGGAAGAGCTTTTCTAACTAACACGGAACACACGAAATGTTACAGAACACCTGGTGTTCAAAACCAAAAGTAAAGCCAAATTGCACTAGGTGCCTGGTGCAGCAGCACGGAAGATGGACTGTTACCAGCAGCCTGCCGGTTTGCTGCCGACGCGCTAGCGACCGGCAGGAGAAGGTAGTTTACTTAAGAGGCACGATTCTGTTCTCTGGAGTTTTTGTTCTGCTGTTCCTGTAGTGCTGCTTTGGAGTGGTGCTGCCCACGATGTGTTTCAGTACCGCGTAAGAAAATTCCATGATACTTTGTGAAGTAATGCAGGTGATACTGTTTAAATCCTCCACAACCTTAAAAAAAAAAGAGATACTTACAGTGCCTAAGAGACATCAGTGTACAAGCATACTTCCTAACCCTCCAACTCCACTGAGAATGGTGGTGCTCCCTGGGCGTACGCTGGGGGCTCTTTGACAGAAGGTGAAGCCTCATGGTATGGTTTCTTGTTGGCTTGCATGTTCCGTGTGGGTTTTTTTGTTTTGTAGGTTTTTTTTTTAAATTTCATTGCTTCTACTAAAGAAGTGAAATGAAAAAGCTACTGTCCATAATGGGCTGTTTGTTACAGTATTCAGTAGCAGTCTGGGCAGAATGCTGTCCCAGGCGATTGCTTCTCCACCTGTCAATGAAACAGTGTCTGGGGGTTCGTCCGGGCTGTGAAGAAGCTGAAGGACGAGGACAAGCTCATGCTAGCACAAGCACAAGCCTTCCTGTGGAACTGCCCTGGACCCCCATAACACCATTACAGAGCTACACGCGCTTCCTG